AGCTTTCCCGACCTTTGGACAAGCAAAGTCAATTGGGAAGCGAGTGAAGTTAGTGTTACTAACTTAACAATCGCAGTGATTCCCTTAAGAACTATGGCAAGAAAGGTCATAAAATGGGACAAAACTCACTTAACAACTGTCCTACTTAGCAGTAGAAATTTTGGGTTCAATTGTTGTCATAAATTGAGGACTATTAAACAATGACCTACATCCAGACAGTTGATTTTCAGAATGATTTCAAGTGGAAGCAGAAGATTGCATGAGCGAAGTCCCCTTGCAGAATATAATTCCTAAATATAAATTGGCAGAGCTCATTTTGAAAAGCTGTTTGCTTTATAGGGCAGTAAAGTAAATAAACTATATTTATAGTGAAAGTCAATTCCTGGTAATTTATTCTGGCAACAATATGGAAATAAACTTCCTTGAACTCTTAGAGAAAAAGTGGGATATAAATTAAAACAAATGAAAGGATATAAATAAACTATCTGTGTCAGAGGTGGTATTCAGCAGGTTCTGACCAGTTCTGGAGAACCGGTAGTGGAAATTTTGAGTAGTTCAGAGAACTGGCGAATACCACATCTGACTGGCCCCGCCCCCCTCTATTCTCTGCCTCCTGAGTCCCAGCTGATTGGCTGAGTCATATTTGTTGCCCTGCACAGGAGAACAGAGCTGGAAAGCAGGTTAGTGGAGTGGGGAGGGAAGGATTTTGCAGTAACCTTCCCCCTGGAGTGGGGAGGGAATGGAAATTTTGCAGTATCCTTCCCCTGCCACACCCACCAAGCCACACCCACCAAACCAAGCCACACCCATAGAACTGATAGTAAAAAAATTTGAATCCTACCACTGATCTGTGTCTAATGTTTAGGCTTACAGAAAAAGATTATGAATAGTAGTATAAATTATATTTAACTAAATGCATTTTTGTCCTAAGCCCACCCCAGACTCAAAGAATGGGTGAGACCTGGAGCCCAGAAAGTCACCTTCAACTGACTCTTCAGTGATCCTTTGCAAGAGAGCTTTGTCTGTATGCTTTGACATGCATACTCTTTCTGGATTTGAAGGCCCTTTTCCACTATCTTAGACATCTTCCTTAAGTACCAATTGCAGGTGTTAAAAATGTTGCACATGCTTAAGATGCCATAAGGATTCTATTTACAGAGTTTAATTTTTAAAAAGGAAAGGAAAATAATTTTTCACCAGGCTTTCAAATGTAGCTTTACAGCAGTGAACTGGACAAGTAGAAAAATATTTTGTTCAAATGCCTGGAATTAAATGGGTAAATTTAGAGAGCACAAGTCAGAGGTGGTATCCAGCAGGTTCTGACCAGTTCTGGAGAACCGGTAGTGGAAATTTTGAGTAGTTCAGAGAACTGGCGAATGCCACCTCTGACTGGCCCCGCCCCCATCTATTCTCTGCCTCCTGAGTCCCAGCTGATTGGCTGGGTCTTCTTTTGTTGCCCTGCATAGGAGAACGGAGCTGGAAAGCAGGTTAGTGGGGTGGGGAGGGAATGGGGGTTTTGCAGTATCCTCCCCCTGCCATGCCCACCAAGCCATGCCCACCAAGCCATGCCACACCCAACAGGCCATGCCCACAGAACCGGTAGTAAAAAAAATTTGAATCCCACCACTGGCATAAGTGACAAAATGCTAGGTGCATTGGGCCTGATGGGTTTGGTTCCAAGCCAGGAAATGATGTGTGAATCCAGTCAGCATAAAAAAAGCATGCAGATAAAGGTGATGCAAGTAATCCTTGGCCCTGTTCACCGTTTATTGCAAGCCAAACCATAAGGGAAAGAGAAATATGTTGTGCAATTACTTTAACTTAGCCAACTGACTCTATCAAGTGTTCCTGGTGGAGTTCCCAGGTGAATTTTGCTTTAATTCCCGGGTGAATTTTGCTTTAATTCCCAGGTGAATTTTGCTTTAGTTCCAAACAAAGAAAGGTCTTCTTTGGGCTAAAACAATGAAAAATGAATGTCATTGCATGGGACTAAAGGGACTCCACCCAGTTAGTCATGTAGCAATTCTTCATTATCGCTTTATTTTATCATTCAATAAAAAGGTCTCACTTAACCAGAAAAATGGATAAACAAATCAGCAAATAAAAATCAGTGTGAACTTTTTAAAAACAATTCATCATTTCCTATGTAATCAACTTCAACAAAAAGCCAAGTTTATACTTGTTTAGAAGTTTACTTTTCAATTGGCAGAGTTTCTGCTAGCATAGAAACATATATTCGTTTTTATACTGTGTCCAAAACTGGGTTTGGTCTTATTATTTAAGGGCTACTTTAGCCAGATATGGCTAAAACAGCAACATTTCTTCTTAATAACCCCCTCCCCCCCACAATTTAATGTTTGACACAAAATCCCTTTGTATCACATTTAACTGATGCTTAGTGAAGTAAATGAGCAAAGCTACAGTTAGCTTTTCTTTGCACACAAATGCTTAATTCACCAGCATGCTTAACTGTATATCTTGATGCTTTGTCATTGGGGCAAAGATCCATAAAACTGACGTATTAATATAAAATATTTTGTAGTGGCAACTGAGGAAGAGAGTAGAGGATTTTGTTCCACTTATTGCAGTCTAATACAGTGTTTTTCAGGCTTGGAAACTTTCAGATGTGTGGACTTCAACTCCCAGAGTACAAAAATATTCTGGGAGTTGATGTTAAGTTGATCTTAACATTGCCAAGTTTGAAATTTTTTTTTTACCACATCTCTAGTTTTGCTTTGGAATTCTTTTCTGGAGAGCATGGGGGAAATTGCCCCCTCAAGCGGCCTACCCTAATTTGGAGATCTTGGAAAACCAAGGAGCTCTAGGGAATCAAACAGTTAAAGAAACAACAGAGCAGGGGGTATCATAAAAGAATGAATGTGATCAAAGAAATGACTATATCTTTAATATTATTAGTTCTATATTCTTACTACACCTCCTGTAAATCATCCTTAAGTTTCTTATTAGGGGGGTAAAAATAGAAAAGGTGATCTTCCTACTGACTGCTACCACATATTTGTGAGACTGCAGATAAAATTGTTCATATTCGCTTATAGCTTAATTGGGATCTGAAGAGATGATTCAGATGACATCTTGTAAAACTGGGAAGTTCACATATAAACACAAGCTTCATGTATAGACACAAGTCTTCATAATAATGTAGTGATGAGTGACCAATCAGCAAATGACAAGTTAGAATGTAAAAACTTATGGAATAATTCTCAACTTCTTAATTTTCAGAATGGTCCTAATTTTAGCAACACTAAGTACTGTATTAATCAACTCTTTATTTTAAAGCATTTTATCATTTTAAAAACTAAAATAAAAACAAGTAATACGGAAAGGCCAACATAAAAGGAAGAGTTTAGAAAGAGGTCCAAAATGTATCAGTTCTCTTTGTCCAGCATACTGCAGAAGAAAGACCATTTCTAAGGCCAGGCGCTACTTTGAAGCCACGTGTAGCAGTTCCACAAAACTAGGCTATAGAAAGCAGGCTATTCTCCAAAAATTGCAGGTGCCTACAGAATTGCTGTAACTATTCATACAAGGTATATACTCTGTTTGTTTTCTAATAATTAACCAAAAATATACCCCAGCAATGTAGTTAAGTGTCAATAAAAACAGCATGTAGGTTAATAATAAGACTTGAAGTGTACTGTACAGCTGTGCCAGGATCCGGGATTATTCATGAGGTAGATTAACAGTGACGTCATTATTAACATTTGGCATCACCAGCTTCTTCGTCCATTCATTTCACACCCTTCTTAAACAAAGTCCTGGCATGAGGCCCAGCATGTTGCATAATGTGAAATTCTGGGATACTCTACTCAGCTTCACACCATCATCAGGAAGCTGTGAGAAAGATATCCCCCCCCACCTCTTTGCTTGAGTTCTGTTCAGTAAAATAATCTCTCTCTCTCTCTCTCTCTGTATATGTGTGTGTTCATATGTGCATATGTATTATGTGTATGTGCACATGTGAAACTCATCAGGCATATTTTTATCATTTGAAAAAGCAAGCTTTGGCTAGAGACTTTTGCTAAACAGATCAGACCACAGGTAGAAGGCAAAAGTCAGACTAGAATCTATTTATACAAATGCTTCAGGCATCAACACACACATACTGTATATATTCATAAAAATATGCATTAGCATATACATTTATAATAAACCAGCTGGTCATTTTTGTATTACAGTACTATAAATTCAGTAGAAATTCTATATATTCTGATATTTGAATGTGAGCTCCCTAAGAATGTTATTATTGCATGAAGCCCTAATAAGATCTGCATTTATCCTACTAGATAACATGTACATGTACAATGTTTATAAAAAATAAGAGAGGAAATAAAATACTGTACCAAGACTGTTAAAGCAATTTTGCTCATAATTTCATTGTTCTAATTTCAGTGATTATTTTGCTTAAAAAGATAGTATTGTTCTTTTTACCAATTATTTTGCAATAGAGTAGAAAAATGATTTTTATAATGACAGACTAACATCACATTTACCATGAACTGGATGCACATAAAGTACATTGTTAATAAACGTCTTAACCAAAGAACTGCAGGATATTTAAATTTGGACTTAAATTCCCAATTCAACTTCTAAACAATCCATTTTTTCAGCTGTACAGTGACTATATTGAATGCATTGCAAGCCACATTTATTTGCTTTTTATTTGCTGAGACCGAGAACCAGGGCTCTTCCGAAAGACTAGCTGCTATACCTAGCACTATTTCATTTGCTTCTCCAGATTTAAATCCAACTAAATTAACATTTAATTCATACAGGTAGTCCTCAATGTACGACCATAATTGAGCCCAGAATTACTGCCATATCTGCTTAACGGCTGCCACAAAAATGGTTGTAAAATCACAGCCCATTGCGGTTAAGTGGGTCACCATGTGATTATGCCTGATTTTTGCAGCAATAATTAAGCAAACATGGTGATCATTAAATAAATGTGATAGTCATTAAGTGAACCTATTCCAATAGAGATTTTTGGCCAGAAGAATCATTTTTTGGGGTGTTGTCTGTTGTAACTTCAAATGGTTGCTCAGTGACTGGTTAAGCAAGGACTGCTTACATAGCAAAATTTTTGCTACCTAATTATAATCTTTGAGGATTACAAAGAGTTTTTTTTCCTGAATTATTCCAGATTGTTTTGGAGTTAAATACAGTTCTATGTCTTCTCCAGTTTTATGTTCCCATAATTGTTTTCATTTGATTTTCTTAGTGTGGCTTTTAATTTGAACACTTTTTCACTTAATTCGTTCATCTCTCCTGAACTTTGGTTTTCTATGCTGTCATAGAAAATTAATTAATGCCTTTTTTCTCCTCCTTCCTCATAAAAATCTGGATTCTTCCAGCTAATCACTCTACAACTATACTTTCTGATTCATAAGTCATTATGTTTCATACATCACCAACATCAGCCAAGTCTGACTGAAACAGAATTCAGATTCGAGCCTTGTCATTTTTGAAACCAGTACATTTTAAAGTAGTGTAACACTGCTTGTAGCAATTCCTAACGTTTTCAGCAGAGGCTGCAGAAATAGAATTTCTGAAGTTTAATTATTTTTTAAAATATTCATTTACTGGAATTATGTATGGTTTCATTTCTGATCATTGCATATAAGTATCCTGTGTACTTCCCATGTTATGAGAAATAGGAATGGTATTGTGAGAGATGGTTTCCACAGAGGGGGAAGTGACTGTCTCCCACGAAGGAGAGAGCATATTCCAGAAAGAGAAGGAAGACAAGAGGCAGCACACCTCAGTGCTGGAGAGGAGACAGAGGAAGAAAGTAAGGATAACCACTCCTTAGAATCTCTCAGGGTGCATCCATAAGGCTGGGGCTAGTAAGGGTTTAGTCTGGCAAGAATCTGTCTGCTATGTGAAAGCAAATAAAGAACTGAACTCTGGCTGAATTGTTCCATGTCCTTCTTGGGAGCTTCATCTGACAAATACTCCTGAGATCACAACAGCATGAGGGTTGATGTTAAACGTGCCCTTCCAGGTTCATATGGCAACAGCTTTGAGGCAAACTGAATCCTATTTATTTAAAGCTCAGTGTGAACTGATAATCTAATGAAAGAGGCAACGAAGGCATTCAAGTTAAATCATGCTGCATTTCAAATCCCCATGAAGGTTTTTCAGATGTTACTGATCCATTTTCCCCAATGGCTTATCTGCTGCACAGTGCCTATTTCAACTACCAATCTTTTTGCCAAATATCTCCGTTGTCAAGACACTGAATTGTGTGCAGTAAATGCAGATCCTTGTGCCTTAAAAAGGTTTTATCTCTAGAAATTATTGCTTGATTATGGCCATTGGTCTCACATGGTTCAGACTGGAGAATCTGGGGACTCTACAAATCTATATAAGTGGTGCCAATTTAGTTATCCATGGACTTGTTTGGCATACAAGCTCTATTAGCCTTTATCACTTTATATGTTATCTTAAAATACTGAAGGGTGGGAAAGTGCTTATTTTTCAAAATAATTGGTTAGAATGATGATTGCATATTTTGTTTTGTTTCTTTCATTTTATAAGGACTGGTGAATTCAGTTTTCCTAAAACATAGAATACTGGGGCCCTGTTAGTTCTAAGTCTGAGATCAGATTCTACTGAATTTCATCATTGGAATACTTCTTATTAATCTATCTCTCTGTTCAAAACAATAAAGCAAATTTTATGCTGAAGAACTGTAAAATTGAACTGATTAACAAAAGAATTGTTATTTCCCTGCCCGCTTCTCAAATTTACTATCCAACACAACGACTATTCTCAAAAATTATCTTAAAATGTTTATTTCAAGAATTTAAATGGTAAAGTATTAGTTCTACCTCCCCTGCCTATCTTGCTCACTTGTTCAACATGTTGGTAGAAATAATAAAGTGTCCACAGAATACTTTTAGAAGCAAAACAATAGTTGGAACATGGTTGTCCACTAATACAAAATCTTCTCGAAGGCTAGTCCTTCTATGGTATTTTTCACTAAAATCTATACAAAGTTTTTAAATTAATTTTTGTTTTAGAATATAAATATTAAAATGTTTCACATGTAAGCCTTATAGATCAACAATCAATTAATAAATCAAGCCACTAATTTTTCACTGTGGCTTTTCATGTACTTTGCTAGGTTTTCCAACTTGTGCTTCCTTTTTAAACTCTGTTGCTTCCTCTGTGATTTTCTTGTGCAGAGACGATATTGTACGCATCCATATAGATATTTCTTTACTGTCTCTTTGTTATCTGATGGCTGATCATTTTAAATAAGTGCAAAAGCCTCAGGGCTCAAGTCCAAATCAGAACCCAAAGAGCTGTTCAAAGCAGTATCACGCTGGAATAATGTTATGCCATTTAATCACAACCTTCTCTGGATTAGCAATTGTGTCCCTCCATTGATCAGCAGCTTCTGCACTGTTGCTGTCACTGCTTAAGCAAACCTGCACGATAAGAAAAACAAAGGATCATTGTAAAGAAGTCGCCAAAAGCTGTTTCTGACATTTATCTTGATTAGTCTATAAAATCATGTTTACACAATACAAAATATGAATCAAGAACATGCATGCTGAGTGACCACATATGCTGATAAAAAATATGCATTTTATTTAAAAAATGGATTCTAAAAACATTGTTATCTTTTGTTTTTAGGATTTTGGAAAAGACTAATTTTTACATCCCATGATCTGGAGATTTCTGCTACAATACCTTCTAAGCATTTAATCTTTCTCTCCTAATAATACTTTACCTGTGTCTTGTAAAATGGAATGGAAATTAGTATCTGACAATTCTTTGAGTCGTAAATCTGTGGTTTCTGACATAAAATTGCATAAGAGGAAATTACTTATGGTACAGAATTATTTATTCATAATGAGATAAATTTTTTAAAGGATCTAGCCATGAAATTAAATCCATATTTAAAGAAATTACTGAATATTAACTGGCTGGACAATATTTAGCAAAATCTGGAGGACTGCAGGTTTCCTATTCCTCTTTTATTTCAACCAGGATTATATTTATGGTAACATTTTTGTTAAAAAGCAAAATTTGTAGTCTGCATAAATTTTAAATTTTAGAATTCAGAAATCTTTGCTTTGGGTGTCATAGGGAAAAAAAACAAACCAACCTGTCCCAGGAAATGTTTTCTTCTCACTGAGCTCCTACTATAGAGTTTGATGAGAAAGTTTATTCCATGTTCATTCTGGCTCACAGGGAACATCAGGGTTTCTCCCCATTTTACTTGACTGTTAGTAGATTTCAGCAAACGAGTTTTTTTCTTATCAACCAATCCTTCAGTGCTGAGCATCACAATCTTTACAAAAAAATCTATGGTAGAATTAATGACAATTTTTAAAATGTTTTCATTGTGTGAAGTTTGAAATCCCAAAGTGAAAGAATATGTTACTGTTAATTATAATTGATGCAATATCTTTGAATATGATGGGCATATCATACCCCCCCTCCAGGGCTGATGCATTTTAAGGCATAGAATACCCTGCTTACCTCTTGGAAACAAACTCTGCTTAAGCAGCTTCAGTTCCCAGTATCAGGCTGTTATAAAGACCAATGGAATTCATCCTTCTACTTGATGATGCAATTTTCCCTGTTAACTTTGTCCATGCCAGTCAATGATTGTAACAGAAAAGGTAGCCTATTGCTATCTTGACTGCAACCACCCCCACACCTGTATAATTCTATTCAAACTTCTAAACATATTTGAATATTAAATAACAGGCTTTAAGAAAGCATATTTTAAAATAAACAGGATCAACTGAGAGGATTCAGAAGAAATTGTTTCTTTTTACTTTTACTTTTATGTATCTGGGAAGGCTAGATAGTAGATCAAGATATGACATGCCTTTATATAAAAGTCATTATATAATCATAAACCACACAGAGCAGCAGACACACAGAGATGTGTAATTTTGTATTTAAACATGCTCTCATTTATGGAATTTGACTAATAAGACTATAGTATTTACTTGAAGACAATGGTGTGGATGAACTTGGAAGGTTCTGAGCTTCTAGGATTTGCAACTGGATCCGGCTGTTTACTGCTTGAAAACAGGTGCCTATTTTCAATTCTGCAGAACACACCTGCACAGAGAGTCAAAGAGCAAAGAAATGTTCCATCTTCATCTTAGCCAAGTTTCACAAATAAAATATTTTGTTACACAGGTGTGTAGTGAAAAGATCAGACTTTCAGTTTAATCAAACATTAGCTCTATCTTTTTTTTTTAAACTGCCTGATAATGCTACTTTTGTATGCTATATAATTGTAAGTTCTGATCCTTCCAAATTTGCCAGAATCAAGATTGGGATTTTTTTTAAAAAACCTATTGTATATGTTTTTTGGAAAATGCTGTCAGGATTTCTGTAGAATTTCCCCATTCTTTAAAATGGCAGAATCTTTTCCCCCCAGATTATGAATTGTTTTTTTTAATTGTTTTTTTTTAAACTGCTTACATTTCTAAAGACTTTTTCATGAGGTTGGGATGACCTTTGGTTCATGGAATTCATTTTCTGGTTCTTTAGAGCCAGTTCTGGCAAATGTTAATAAGTGAAGCTGCAATATAACTTCCTTGTGTGAAATTCTATAGTGATGGAATTTTATAATTTAAATACTTTCATTACCAATGTAGCTCCATTTCAGAGGAATGCCAATCTATTGTACATATGGAGAGTAAATAAGATGATAGATATTTTCAAGAACCCTTGCCACACAAAAAGGGCTTACAAATTGTAGGAAGCAAGATAGTATTCATAAGCAGGCAATATTTCACTGATTCGTGGAGTAAATGAAGGAGGGTAAGATGCTGCCTTGCAAGGGTCTCTTATGTAGGCTATCTCAAAAAAATTATAGTTTTAATTTTCTTGTGAAGATATCAGCTGTTCAAGGTAGGTCAGACCAGAGAAAATCAACAGACTTATTAAGGCTATCCTTTTTGAAACAAGTCAAATCCTGTTATATAATCCAGCCTCAGAATAAAAACTACTATTATATTAGAGATATATAGCTATTGTGAATGTATAGCTAGGATGGAGGGGAATTTACAACAGGTTAAGGGGAAGAAGGAGTTGAAATATCTGAAGAATTATAGACTTTGCACCCTGTTTATAATTTTTCAGACATTACCTTGTAGATAAAAAGGAACAGGTTGCAATTTGGCAATGGAAGAAGTGAATGTGGAAGACTTAGCTGATAGGGGCTACAAGTGAGGGACCTCTTTTCTCCTTGCATGTCCCCCCTCCCAGCATTGGGGGCTCCTGATAAAAGTGGGGAAGAATGAATGAATATAAAAAGGACCGACAATTAAAATATCCCAAGGATTCTTGAAGGAGATACACAGGACTTTATGCAAGTACAGAAATGTATAATTGGTTTCTTACTAAAGCTTTGGAAGGAGGTGTTATCATCAGCCAATAATCCACTTCCTGTGAACTGAGGTCTCGCAGGGGCAAAATACATTCTCCTATAGTTTTTCTCCTGGGAATTAGGGATTGTACTTTGAACACAAGTCTTGCAGTCTGGAGAAGTTGCAGTTTAATAGCAAACACAAAGGTTTCCATGAACTCAATGTCCTAAAGGCAAGCGACAGTCAAATGTAAAATTTGGGGGGGGAAATCCTTATCCATAATCACTCTTGTGTCTCTGCTTTTATCAATTCACATATTACATGTAAAAGAATTTTGAAATAGATTTTTTTTTAAAGGGCCACTTACATTGGAAGCTTCTTTTGCTAAACATCTGAACTGCACTGGTTTGTGTAGGGTGAGGATTCCTTTGATGGATATTTGAGGATGTTCTTCACAAGTAGATGACCAGTTCAAATCTTTGCACTACAAATTTGAAAATTAACAATGCAATCTTGGAAAACACAACTATGTGCTTAATTTCCTTATGTTAGTTTGCTTTATTTATGATAAACATTATTCATCTTACTATAAAATATGGTTCTTCAACTGCATAAACTCTCAAGGCAACCTTGCCAATTAAAATTATTGCCTTAGATAATTATTGCTGAAAATACTGGCTGTCTAAGATAAAAGTTACACTAATGCCTCTTTCTTATACTTTCATGAATCCAGCATAGTTAATAATCATTAATTAACACAATAAAAATTATAATGAAATGAAGTAGATTAAAGCACAAAGTATTCTCTTTCCAAATATTATGTCTGAAGATGTACTGGTTTATGAAACAGTATGTACTCTGTATATTCACTGTCCCAATTCAATTCCACCCATTTTCAAATAAAAGGATTTCATACAGCAAAATTCTGGTTTTATGTCTAAATCCAGAGTAGATGTAATGGAAGATGTTCCAACTCAGTATAAAGCAGTTTGTATAGCATTTCATCTATTGCTAATAAAATCTAGCTAGAATCAATAATGATGTTCATATGTATAATAAAAGGTGTCATTGTCCATTAAGACTTGCTTAGATGGATCCATTAAGTGGGGCATTTTTATCTCCCCTTCACACAAGATTTGTATATTTCGTGGCGGGGGGGGAGTTGTGATAATGATTTTTTATTATAATTTTTTTATCTGTTGTTTTACATTTGGTATTTTATATGATTGTGCACTGCCTAGTGTCACTGTTGGTGAGACAGGCAATTGTACCAATAAATAAATAAATAAATAAAATAAATAAATAAACAAAATAAATAAATAAATAAATAAATAAAAAAAATAAAATGTCTTATTGTTCCTAGATGTACTCAGGATGTGTATGGGATTACACAGAGAAAGATACGGTGGGTGAGATTGCCTGGGAGTATGTATGTGTACATGTGTTATAGAAAGATAGAATCATCAAAAAGAAGAACTGAATGAGGTATTACTGTATAATAGTTAATGAAAATCTCACACATATTTTCATTATTTTAGTTAGAATGGTTATCATTTTAAACACTTTATTAAGCTTTCCAGTGGATGTTTCTATTTTTTCATAGGAGCCAGATGCACCAGTCTTGAATGAAACCTGGATAACATGAAATTAAAGTAGGGCGAGACAAAAATTTTAAAAAGCTGCACATATTATTTGTCTATTTAATTTGAATCTGTCCAGTAAGTGTATCTCTGAACAGGTTACTCTATACTGCGTATTTAATAATAAATGGAACTACTGTGGTTTTTAGAAGGAGGATTATTTGTCAACCTAATGGTTCTTGCCTAACAACTGAGTTTAGGATATAAACTAGATTTTCTTTCCCCACAAATGCCCTTAATGGAACCATTCAAGAACCAGTAACTGAATGCTTTTTAGGATTACTTACTTTCAAGATGGTGATCCATATCTGTTCTACAGAAAAAAGGTAGCACACCTTCACGTTCAGCCTGCCAAATTCTCTTTCGTCACCTGATAATGTAATTGTATCTGGGGATAAATCCAAAAACACTTTTGGAACTTGTTCTCAAAAGCTGAAAAAACATTAGCTTATCCAGTGAATTCAGACTACTTTAAAAAAAAAAACTGTTCTCATGACTTCAATATTTCTCCCTACTGCCAGGATATGTCAGCTGTTATGTATAAGGAAATACATGTTTGATACAAATCAAATTTGTGAGTGTTTCAGCTGTTTATGACTAATCCTGCCTTAATGCGTCATAAAAGGTGTTTTTAAAACTACATTAGCAAGATAGGGGGTTGCCAACATTCTTCAACATACACCTGCACTGGCAGAACCAAAGAGATTAACCTTTTCACCAGTGTTGTATCACTCTACCAAGCAAAGTGTATGCTAAAAAGGACCAGGCAAATGAATCTAAAACAATGCACTATGCTAGGCTTCTGAAAGTACTTTTTTTTAGTCTGCAGCAATCTTTGCCAACCTGACACTTTTCAGATGCAGTAGGACTGCAATTCCCAGAATTCTGAGCAAGGATGACTTAACACAGGATGCACTACGTCAAAAACACACTCAATATAAGTTCACTCCAGTGCAGTGTGAGGAATATTTCTTTATGCTAATAAAATGCTTGCTTCCTTTTGTCAGCTTTAGAGCAGTGATTTTATGAGCTTCAACTTGAAATGTCATTTCATTCTCTTTTCTACATGGTACCTTCTCTTACTATTCAATATTTGCCCATTTCCTACAGACAAGAGTTTTTTGCTTTAGTGGATTTTTCCAATCCCTGGCCTTCATTTTCCCTAACCCAGGGATGTCAACCTGGCAGCCCACAGGCTGGACGCGTCACACGCAGCTCCATAAATAGGAAAAACGTCACGAAATGTCATGTGACGGCAACGTGACGCCATGAGTTTGACAGATAACAGATAATCAGAGTTGGAAGGGACCTTATAGGTCATCTAGTCCAACCCCCCCGCCCAAGCCATTACACCATTTCTGACAAATAGCAATCCAATCTCTTCTTGAAAGTCTCAGTGATGGCCCTCCCACAACTTCCGAGGGCAAGCTGTTCCATTGGTTGATTGTTCTTACTGTCAGAAAGTTTCTCCTTATTTCCAGGTTAAATCACTCCTTGTTCAATTTCCATCCATTATTCCTTGTCTGGCCTACAGGTGCTTCAGAAAATAGTTTGACCCCTTCCTCTCTGTGGCAGACCCTCAGATCAATTTGGAAGACTGCTATCATGTCTCCCCTGGTTCTTCTCTTCACTTGACTAGCCATGCCCAGTTCTTGTAACCGTTCTTCAAATGTTTTAGTCTCTGGTCCCCTAATCAACCTGGTTGCTCTTCTCCGTACTTTTTTTTCTAGAGTCTCAACATCTTTTTTATAATGTGGTGACCAAAACTGGATACAGTACTCTAGATGTGGTCTTACTAAGGCTTTATAGAGTGGTATTAGTACCACTTGACACCCATGTACTGACTGACACCTGTGCCCTAACTACTCAGAATTTCCAATGATTTTTTTTCCACCTAAAAGCCATTATGGTTCAGCCATTCCACATTTGTACCAATTCATATTGTAGTTATATATTTGAATATGCATAGGTAAAGAAGTTTCCATGTGGAGAATAAGGAGGTCAGCAAACCACTTTTATGAAATTCCTCTACTCTGGATATATTAGCTTTACAAGCTAAGGGAGCTTAGGGAGAGAGTTTTCTTTCTTTTTTTAATATTGAGGATTAAAAAAATTATTTATCTATTTATTATATCAAATATTGTAGTCTAGGAAGTCATGCAATATATATTAACTAGGTCTCACGTTTGCTGGGTTTAATCAACTTAAGTTAAGCTTAAGGCTATAACTTATTCCAATCTATAGTTTTCTTCCGGTTAAGTCTATTTTTAGCTGTTATTAAGATACCAGTGTAACCTCCACTTCTAATAAAGCTAGAAAGAGAAGTATTAACAGAAATTCTGGAACTTTTAAGTCAAAATATATTTTGATTTTATAAAAATATAACGTAGGACCTATATTGGCCTACATCTATAGCATGCTTGTATCAGGTATTTCCGGCCTTCACAGGTCCCTCTCATCATATGAGGCCCAGTTTACCAGATCACTACCAGACATAAGACAAGACAACAGTGCTCATTACCTAAACTCCTGTTATTACCTTGTGAATTCTTTCTGGAGGAGATGCTGCTTGGTACACTGGAGGCAGAATCATACCTCTTCCAGCAAAAAAAAAAAAAAAAAGTGTGATTAGTTAACATAAAACAAAACAAGAACAAGGAAATACAGAACTAATAGTGAGATCAAAATATATTAGAAAGGAATTACAGAGAGTCCTCCACTTATGACTGGTTGCTTAACAACAATTCAGAGGTAGGACAGACTCAGAAAAAGTGACTTACAACTTGTCCTCAAAGTTACAACCAATGCACTACCCTTGCAGTCATGTGATTGCAATTCAGGCACTTGGTAACTGGCTTGCATTTACAACAGTTTGCATCTTGTTATGCAATCATGGTTTGTGACCTTTCTAGACAGCTTCTGAGAAAAAAGTCATTTGGGGAAGACAGGTTTGTTTAACAACTGTGTTATTCACCTAACAACCACATGATTTGCTTAATGATTGCAGTAAAAATGGTCACAAAATTGGATCCAGTCACATGATGATTCTCTTAATGGCCACATCATTTAGCAAATTGAAATTCCAGTTTCACTTGCGGTCACAGGTCAAAGAGTACCTGTAATCAATCATTTGCCATTATTAATAAAGCTTGGAATCACATTAATACTAAATAACACTTATTTACCTGAAGAAAGTGCTGTGGTGGGCTTGTAAGATCAAACATAGAATGACTTAAAGAGGAAGAGCAGGGCAACGTGCTCCTTCTTAAATCACAAACTGAAAAAGAAACAGAAATGTCAAAAGCAATTTGGTTTTGAAAAATTCTATGCTATATTCTATAACTCAACAAAAATGTTAAACTTGAAAAAATTCTGTACCAGAATGTGGTTGATATGAGGTTGATATAAACTATTATAAAATTTAATAAATTAATTTGATTCATAACCAAGTGAGAAATGGCTATCACTTTCTAAGAACAGACAAGTCTAACTCTGGGCCACTCAAACAATCACAAATAAAAATATGTGAAACAGTGCAAAACATCACCACTTGAAATGCTGCAAACTGACTGCATTTCAGTGGAAGACAACTGGACATTTCTAATATTCTAGACATTACAGGAGGACAGCTGTGTCAATCTATAGAGGCAAAAAATCAGGAGGAGTCTAGTGGCATCTTTTCCTATTAATGAGTATCATTAACTGCATGAACTTTTATAAGCTACAGCACAAATGTTTGATAAAGTGAGCTGTAGCTCACAAAAGCTTATGCCTTCTAATACAACCTGCTAGTCAGAAAAGGTGCTACCAGATTCTTCCTATCCCAAAGGCGCTTTTGGGATACCGTGGTATATACTAGGTACCCAACCGTGACCTAGATAACTGAGAATCTCCATAGACAGATTCTTCTTGGTTTCTAATGTTCTAACCGTAGCCAACAAGGGCAACAGAAGATCAGAGCTTGGCTCCTCGATTTTTATTTAATGTTGCAAGAGTAGGTCAGGTGGCTGTCTATGCTGACTGCTAGTACAGACAAAACTGGAAACATACAGTAATTGCCAACCAAACAAAAACAGACACGGGGAAAAGTCAAGCAGAGGTTGAATCTTTTATTAGAAAACAATTCTGCCCAGCTTTATGAGAGTTTTCCTTTACATTCCTTGCATTCCCTTAAATTTTCCCTGCCAAGAAGGTAACATAAGACAAAGAGAGCCACACTTTAACTTCTGTAGGAATGGACATGACTCTATGGCACAAGACTGCAATGGCAAGAAGCAAAAAAGTCAACAAGCCAATAAGAAGTCCGATCGTAGCTCTAGGAGCAGCAAGCAAGTCTGAAAAAGCTTCACACACCCCAAGAACTGAGTCAGCAAAAGTTAAACAACATCAGAAAGAAACAACACATGCAAACAGTAAATTAAAGTTCAAACAATCAACCCAGTTCATGTTCTATGGATATTTAAATAACTTCATACAGCCTGAATAGCATTGGCAACATCTGAGTTTAAGTCAGTGTCAATCTTGAAGCAATGTACATGTATGCATGTATAAAAGCACCTAGATACATACATGAAATATATACCAAATATTTTATAAGACTGAAGTAACTTAGCAGGAAGATTGGCAGTCATGCAGATACAACCATCTTCTTCTGTCTGTCTTTGTATTTAATAGCTGTTCCCCTCTCAATATTCCACTCACACATCACTCCAACCAATCTAAACTAACAACAGCAGGTACCTGTGACTGTTGCTATACTAGCTAAGCGAAGGTGGAAAACATTTGAAAGGAAAGCAGCCCAACTAAAGGCCAGAAAGTAGCATGAATAGCAGTTAGGAAATCAAAAATACTGCCACACATAATATCCAAACTTGGTTCCAATAGAAAAAACACAGAAAATGTATTTCCATTTCAGTACAAAATTCTTAAAATACCACATCTACACCAAACTGGCTCTCAAGTGTTACAGTATGCTCGTGAAAAACTATTCATTGATTAATTCCCTAAAGCAAAACCATTCAACTGGGCTTGGAGTTTTCTGTACTTCACCTGGTCAGTTTATGTCAAATAGTGATCATCCTTAAACTATTTTCTTCCTTAGACTTCTGCTTTTGCTTCAAAGAAATGCAGTCCATATAAATACTACAAAGATTTATCCCCTCAGGTAAAGCTGCCCTTTAAATTAACTTGTTCTTCTTCCTTTCAGAGTCTTGTACCTAAAGTATGTAGCTTTGGTGCAATAAAGAGCTTGAATATCCTGCCCAAGAACTGGATACAAATACAAGAATAGCCTGAAAGAACAAAATACAGAACTGTACTAATAGGAGCAGCCTGAATGTAAGGCCATTTGGGAAATCCATCAGAAATAGACACATAAACATGTAGAAAAATATTAGTCTGGTTGTGGAAAATAATTTTTAGGACATTTATGTTTTCCTAGTTTAATGTAGGCTTATTTTATTCACAATATAAAAGGGCAGAATTCATGTCTGTTGTCTTTTAATACTATTCTTTAAAATGGAGAAAATGTATGTTCATTCACAACTAATGAACTCTTTTACCTGACCCATATAATCTCTTGTTCACCATTTTTTCTGTGAGGTCTTGACTGAAATCTGGAGAAAGAGGTGGCAGTTGCATATAGAATGGGTTATACACCACATCAGCAGGAGGTCTTTGATGGTATATATTGGAAAGTTCTGCTTTCCGATCACTGAAAGACGTTACAACTGAACCTGAAAAGTATGATGCATTATTAAGCAAATCATCACTGAACTGAAATTATATGTAAAATATGAGAAGGAGGTCAGCCTAAAACAGATTCTAAAAAACAAGTTTCTTTTTCCTATGTTTCATGGCTATATAGAAATCAGTATTTTAATATATAATATCGCAAAAATAAAAGCTGCTACTAGAGTCAAGTACTTTCATATTGATATTAGACATTTAAAAAAGTTGGGGAGAAATTAAGTGCATGTTCCTTATTTTGCGTATTATTGACATTTGTAAAGCATTACTAGCTACACTAATTGGTTGTTCCAGCAGGAGTTGTAGGGGAAGAGAAACAGTTGGCTCCAAGTAGGAATAGAACCCAGAGGAAGGATTCCTATGCTGCTATTGCTCTTGTGGTATATAAGCACAAACTGGATATGGCTGTTTGGCCAATCTACAGCAAAGTTTGATGGCAGCAATTATTCCTTTGGAGCAATGTTGAAGGGAAGATCATGCCCTTTAAGATTAGCCTTGGAAAGCCAGGATTATGCATCGGTCCCACTGAAATGATACTAAATAGTCCAAATAGCAAGTCAGTGTTAGAGATATCCCGCCCTTAAAAAAAGTTATGTTTCTAAAGATGGCCAAGATGGTGAGGAAAACTTGATTCAAGCAGAAGGCTTTGAAAAATGTTGTCATTTTTCCAAGACTTTGGAAAGAAAGAAATATCTGGGTGAAGGGGGAACAGGATCTTTTTATACGGAAAAGAGTTTACCAGGTTGACAGGCCAATGCCATGGCTACCAAAAAGACTATCAACCATGAAATAACGTGGGGTGGTATAGAAAGAACAAGAGGGAGCCATCAGTCCAAAAATAGTATGGATGTTTTAAGATAGACACATAGTTAGGTCTTTCATAAATTGCTTCTGTGGGCTAAAGAAAAATATTTGGGAAAAACAAACAAGGAAAGAATGCCATTACTGAAGAGAGGAGTAAGGGTCATGCACCAAGTATCAGAAAATGATAGACTTGATAATACCAATAAAGGAGAGTATTTATAGCTCAGAATTGAAATGAGGGTTCCTTGTTGCTCTCTGATCTGGGTTCATTTTCTTGCAGATGTTTCATTATCCAAACTAGGTAACATCATCATGCTAGTTTTTGCTAACACTGATGATGTTACCTAGTTTGTGTAATGAAAGGTCTGCAAGAAAACAACCCAGCTCAGAAAGCAACAAGGAACCCTCAATGTGATATGCAAGGATTGTTTCTAAGTGAAGTCTTCAAAAGGTTTCTGTTTAGGTGAACAGGGAGCTCTCATGGAAAGTTTGGAAGAGGCAATGTAACCATCTCTCCCTGTAAAAGGAATGTAGGCATGGCTTTGGGCAAGGAAGGCAAGAATTGTTAAAGGAAGTGAAATGGCAACTCGGTCCTAAAAAATGGAAAGCATGAGGAAGAAATTTGAAATAATTCCATCAGGATTTTTTCTGCTATAAGAGAGGAATAACAGATAGGGCAGAGAGAAACACTTTCAAGATTCTGTTACTCTACCCCACTACAATAAAGCAGCACACCCAGAATCCCTACAGTATCTGTCTCTTGGCTTGGCCCATCTCAAGGAGCTGACATCAATTCTGAAAGCCTCACTACTTTCATCAGAAAGGCATCAAACCATGCAGTTAGGTTTTTAAACCTGGCAATAGATCTGAAGGGCACCTCCATAAGGGATTTGTGGTGTTGGGCAGCTCCCAAATAACACAAATAAATAAGCACACTTGTAAGATGCTTTGCTATTCAGTTTGCAGTCAGTCAGATGCACCCTTGGTATCTTGTTTCATACCTGGTGGAAATTATACTTAAAACAACTTAATTTACAGAAGTTAACATTAGAACATGGCTTATTTTAGATGGTTAGAAATTGTTCAATGTTGTTCTCATTTCTCTTCTAATCATTAAAGAGGCAAAGGAGTTACAAGAGTCATCCCAATTCACTTTCCTGATCAAATTTATTATTATGATAAGAATGCTTGGAATTGAGCATTTCAGAAAAAGAAGGAACTGCAAGTATCCTCTATATCACCGGTCGCCAACAGTGGGCTGCGGCCCACTGGTGGGCCATGAGAAAATTTTGGTGGGCCACAGAGAAATCTCACTCCCAGAGCACCTACCAAAGCAATTAATCCAGTCTGCGCAGAAACACAAGGCTGCTCAGCCCACATGGCCCACGGGAACCCGGCCCGCAGGAACCCTCCCTGCCCACTCACTCCTTACTCGGCAAACTTGTCTGGTAAGTTGCTATTTTTCCTTTTTCCGACCATCATCTGTTCTGCTGTTCTGTGCCAGGACATTTAGATTAGCTAGGAAGCAGGAAATGGTTGGATTTCTTGCTTTCTAGCTAAGCACAGCCAAACCTCCCTTAGGACTGAAGGTTTGCTTGCAAGCAAATTCAGTACAGATTCATGGCAAGCAAATTTGAGAGACTGAGTTAGCCGATGGCAGATAGATAGATCACTGAATGATTCTGTGAGCAACTCAATCTGCCTGCTTTGCCTGATTTTGGATAAAAGTTGCTTTTTTAATAAAAAAAAATCAATATTTACATACATAGTGAGATGTGACTTAATTTTATGAGTTTGCTTGCAAGCAAATTTTATGTGACAGACTGAGCTAGCCAATGGCAGATAGATAGATCTCTGAATGAATCTGTGATTCTGTGAGCAACTCAATCTGCCTGCCTGCTTTGCCTGATTTTGGGTAAAAGTTGCTCTTTTTTATAAAAAATTCAATATATATATAAATATTTATAATATTTACATACAAGCCATGCCCAGCCAGTCACATGACCACCAAGCCACAGCCAAAAATTAGGCCATGTCCACAAAACCAGTTAGTGGTCCCTGGGATCTAAACATGAGTTTGGTGGTCCCTGAGGTCCAAAAGGTTGGTGACCCCTGCTCTATATATCATGATGGCTAGCAGGACAATTCTGGGAGTTGAACTTCACATCTTAAAACTGTCAAATTTGAGAAGCACTGCTCTATATTATAAAACCACAAGTGCAGATTTAATGTGCAAGTCCATTATTCTAGGATTGTTATGTGGTTAAAACTATGTTTAGGAATAGTTTAAACATTAAGAGCTAAAATTTCCAGTAACACAAAACAGTTGACTTTTTTTTAGATTGTAATGCCAGGAATACTCTAAACTTCTGGCTTATATAACTCTCTGCTCTGAGAGTCCTTGGCATGCCTTTCACAATAAGATATTGTTTTTTTTTCATTCAGTAGACTCTAGGGACAAGTAAGGCTAGCAAGTTCAGAAGTAGGAACAAAAAAGCATATTGTCATGAGAAGGGACCTATATCTGGCTGAAACAAGGCCTTTGCTCTACTGTCCAATCCAGATTAAGTCATGCAGCTGGAATAAAAACCATCATCTGAAAGAAACAGCAGTTTTTTAAAAAGTTTGATCTGCATGTTTAAAGAATAAAAAGACTAAAACCAATCTCAGTTGGTTTTGGAAAGGAGTTTTCCTTCTTGCACACGGTCAATGAAATGCATTTTAGGTTAACGAGTGATGGATAGGAGGACAGACTTCCATGAAGTCACAGAATAATCTGAAACAGTAACAAAAATATATACTTTAATAACCTACAATTCATTATAGAATTTACAAACAAATCAACTAATAGAGCCTACTGTATACTATTTTTGGTCTTGCTTTTTAGCTTTAAGCCACCATCAAAAACAGGTAACAATCCAAAAGGATCAAACACAAGTAAAAACATCAAATAAAAGAAAACCTATGGGGAAAAGCTGTGTTTTTACTTTATTCATTAAAGCTTAAAGAGTATCAATGGCCTATTTCAATGTTGTATGTGTAGGGGAGACTGGTGAGAAACCAAGGACGACTTCTATCTACCTAGTCTTACAGAAGATCACTTTTTGCTACATGTATCTATATAGTTTGATCTTAATTAGCAATTTGAACAAGTAATCAATTGCATAAGCAGGTTTCCAATGCATCAAAAGGCAGCCTCTCAAAAAGACACATTAATTTTACACTCATGTTTTTACCTTGAAGTCCCCCAAGGTGTGGATTACTAAGGTTCCGAGGTTGGATGTAAGCAAGTTTGAACTGAGGAACTACAAAGGGTATTTCTTTGCCACCTGGTGGGAACTTAGAGAGAAGATAATCTTCTGAACAGCCAACCTGCTTTTTCATGGATACAGAAGACAAAGGAGGTTTCTCCACTACTTTTGATGTATACTTGTCAGTAACTGTAGACTGTTTCTCCAGAGAGGCTGTTATATAACACAAAAAGAACCAAATGCATTCAGTACTTAATTCATGATATTTTGTATTTTAATAGGATCACAGACAAATAAATTTATATGGAGCAGTTAATGGTAAATATATCAATTTTGAGACAGTTGCAAATGGTTCTAGAATATTATAACTGATGATTTCAATTATTTGTCAGTGCTGGTTAAGAGAAGGTCTCAGAAGCAGTAAATACCAGTTTACTTAAAATTATAAATACAGTCAAAACTTAATTCTAATCATTACATACATCATTATATATCCCAGAAAAAAGGTAAAGTGCCAGTTGACTGGAGTATGGCCAACTTTATGCCTCCTTAAGCATCTGTAAAATATTTTGATTTTGACAAACTATTTCATAAAGTACAACATGATGTTCTGATTAGCAAGTTAGCTGGCAAGTGTGGGCTAGATAGCATGACAGCCTAGGAGATGAAAAACTCATTCCAAAATGGAATTGAAACTCTGCCCATCAAATTGGAAAGAGATACAAATAATCCACAACTTAACAACGGTTCATTTAAAGTTTTAAAGTTACAATGGTACTGAAAAAATGACTTACGACTATTTTTCACACTTAACTACCATTGCAGCATCTCCATGATCCTATCATCAAAATTCAGATGTTTGGCAACTAACTCATATTTATCATGGTTGCAGTATCCCAGGGTCATGTAATCACCTTTTCTCAACTTCTGGCAAGCAAAGTCAATGGGGAAGCCCAATTCACTTAACAACCATGTTACTAACTTAACAACTGCAGTGATTACTAACATTACCATGTTACTAACAGTAACAACTGTGCCAAGAAAGGATGTAAAATGGGGCAAAATTCACTTATCAACTGTCTCGCTTAGCAACATAAATATTGGGCTCAATTGTGGTCATAAGTCAAGGACTACCTGTACAATTGTTAGTGCATGAGTTCAAGTGAAAGCGAGCTGCCATCTATTAGCAAAGCTTTACTTTGGACTAGAGGTAGGCTAGGGAGCCTAAAAGGCCCCTTCCAATTATACGGTCTGATGAGTGTTATTTTGGTCTCCCACAATATTTTCCTTTTTGCCATATTGGCTGAGAATGTTCACTTTAAGATTACCACCCTGCAGTACTAAATGTACCTATAATCGGTTCTTTTAGGATCAGATATTATGACATCACAATTAGATTTTCACAAATTTTACCCATGACACTGTTGAAAATAATAATTGCTTCTCCCAAGCAATAGTTACTAGTTTTGTCATTTCACCATTAAAAAAATAAGATATTTAAATTAGTTAAACTTACCATTATGTTTTTCTTTGTTAGCATATAAACATCCTCTACAACAATTCTTAATGCATTCTGTTGCCATTACTGCTTCTAAGCAAGCTGGAAGCAATGAAGAAGGCAGACCTGGAAATTATTAGAAAATTAGATCAGAAATACAGAAAAAAATCATCTTTTTCCTCATTTTATAAGTGTTCAGTGCAATGATTAGGAGGTTCAATCTCCTGAAATAAAACATGGGGACAATGTTAAGTCCAACTTTTCACTTTTGTAAGTATATAAGTATATCAATATCCTACACTCCACTACATTAAAGTTAAAAATAAATTTATTTTTTTAAAAACTACGAAGTGTAAAATATGCAGGAAATTTAAAAATCTACTGAAGAGCTTTCTTCAGCACATAAACTCTGGAGGACTGGAACATTAAAACTATTTAAACGTTAAGACTGAAACCTGAATTAGTAGGTGCCAAATTTATGGTCCAATAGAGGCCTACGGCAGTGTTTCTCAACCTTCATAACTTTAAGGTGGGTGGACTTCAACTCCCAGAATTGCCCAGACAACACAGCTGACTGGGGAATTCTGGGAATTGGACCCTACTCATCTTACAGTTGCCAACGTTGAGAAATTCTGATCTAGGGAATGGGCTATTTCTCAGTTGAGGTAAGTAGATAATCTACCTACCTACTTCCAGAGGAACGTTTCTGCAACAGATGATTCACTCTTATTATTGCTCTCTGGAACTAAAAACTAAAATGATCTGGTCTCTTCTATTTGACAAAGATTTTCACCAGAGACCATTACTGACACAGGGTTCTGGAAGAAATATCCTATTTGTTCATTGGAAGAGCTATATCCATCAGTAGAGAAAAGAAATCACATATCACACCATGATTATGGAAAAGTAGTCCAGCACCTCCGGAATGAATTCCAAATGAATGGTCCAGAGGTTTTGCTTTTGCCTTTCATCAGCAAACGTGTTTTTGTGTGTATATGTGCTCTCTTTGTTAGTGCTGGCAAAAAAAGGGAAGCACAGTTGGGGGCGTGGGCAGTCTAAGGCAGGGGTCTCCAACCTTGGCAACTTTAAGACTTGCGGACTTCAACTCCCAGAATTCCTCAGCCAGC